TGGTTTTTGTTTATAGTACCGACCATGATATTTGGATACACAGTGATGGGTAAGTAAAAAATAATAATACTTTCGAATTAATGCGTTATTTTTATCTACTGCACGTTGAAGGAAACACATTTGATTTGCAGTCATTTTGGAAATTGGATTCGATAGGAATTGAAAATGAAAACAAAACATTTTTCGGAAACTGATTTGGAATACTATTAAGCATTTCAACGACAGTTTGTAAATTTAATAACGGCAGGTACGAAACAAAACTCTTTTGGAAGGAACAATAAATCACAACTCGCTGATAATTTTTTCCGTTGCTAAACAACGATTTCTAAGACTAAAGCATAAATTAAAGGGAAATGATTTCCTATATAATGAATATGATAATATAATTAGAGAACAAGTTGAAAGGGGGATTGTTGAACAATGTAAGTTTGTTGAAAATGAACCTAACTGTTATTATATGCCTCATAGGCCCGTTATACGTGAAGGAAAAGTAACAACAAGAATAAGAATAGTTTATGATGCCTCTTCTAAGTCTGAAGGAGCTAAATCGTTAAATGAATGTTTGATATCAGGCCCTAATTTAAATCCTAACTTGTTGGATATAATTTTAAAATTTCGCGTACATAAAGTTGCATTTTGTGCAGACATAGAGAAGGCTTTTCACCAAATTCAAATTGATAGTGAAGATAGAAATTTTTTAAGGTTCTTGTGGTTTGATCATCATTCTTACGACGATAGTGACAATAGTTTAGGCTTTAAGGTTTTCCGAATGTGCCGAGTGCCGTTTGGAATGACAACAAGTCCGTTTATTTTGTCCGCCACTATCAAACATCATATTAAGGGTTATGAAAAGAAATATAGCAAAGCTGTTGACATGCTAAATAAATAAGTCCTTATATTGTTGATGACCTTATCCATGGAGCAGACTCCGTTGAAGAAGTTTTCTCATTATCAATGATGAGCAGTTAAAATTCTTGAAGACGCTGGTATGAACTTAAGAAAATTTGAATCAAATTCCGTATCTTTAAAAAATCATTGGCAAGATATTGGTTTAATTAATAAGGAAGATAATTTGGATAAGAAAACGTTAAAAGTGCTGGGAATAATTTGGGATTTGGATGAGGATACATTGAAATTAGATGTACAAGAACTTTTACAACCAGTTGACTGGAAACACGTTACAAGCGAAAGGTATTACAGATTGGTGGCAAAAATTTATTACCCAGTTTTTTGATTAGGTATCTTCTTGAGAAGCGGTAACTTATGCCATTTTAAGAAATTTTCTTTAAAAATCATGGCAAAAAGATTAATTTTGCAATAATTGGATAAAAAATTTTAATTTCTGTTAAAAGTGGGACAAATATTTGGGATAATTTGGATTTGGAGGATTCATTACAAGAAAATTGTACAAGAACTTTACAAACCAATTGGACTGTGGGATACAAAGTTAAATGTATTGGGTATTTTATTACCCAGTGTTGGATTCATTGCACCTTTGTCATATCAGAATAAAATTCTTATTACAGAGTTATTGAATGGGTATTGATTGGACACAATTTTGCCCAGCTATTTGAGTGGAAAATTTAAAACTTGGTACTTTGAAATTGAAGTTATTCTCAACTTGTTTATTCCTAAAAAATATATATTATATGATAAATTTGTCAATTTCGATAAAATAGAGCTTTTTGTCTTTTGTGACGCCCAGCCTCAAGGATAGGAGCTGTTGCATATTTTTCGTAAATCCTGAATTCTTGCTGTACGTCTTTTGTTCTTTCAAGAGCCGTGTATCCCCACTTAAAAAAGTTTAGAACATATCCCCGCATTTAAATATTTTAAGGGAATTATTAATATCCAAGAAATGTAATTTTGGTTTTAGTGCTCTAAATTGTTTAGGGTGCCGCTGAAAATGAAACCCTTGAATTCGTGTACGGAAATACAAGATGTTGATTTATCACTTAGCAATGAAATACTAAATGAATCCGGCTGACATAGTTCACGTGGATTAAGAGCTGATCTATGGAAAATAAATCAATCAGTGTACGGGAAAATAAAAATGTACCTTCATCATCTTCCTGTGGGTTGAGGCTATGGTATTACGTGGTAGGTAAGATGAGCGTCAAACTTTGGTTATTTCAGAAGGAGAACTGTTTGTTTCCCTTTACCTCAGGTTTCAAAAGTTTTTGAAGGCACAGAAAAAATTTGAATAACAATCTTAAAACTCAATTAAACAAAATTGGATAAGGAAGCAATTTGATTTTTTACAACATTCCATTAGAGAAGAAATTAGACTTGGAAAGCAGGGAAGAATTCAGAATCTCACAGAAAATCCTGAATAAATCCTTGATAGAGAAATCCTTAGAGTCGGTGGTAGACTCTGTAACTCGAATCTTTTCAGAAAACACAAAGTATCCATCATTCTTTCTTCCCAAAAGTCACCAAGTACTGAATGTAGTCAAAAACTCACATGCCCGCATTAACATTATCTGCTCTGCTGACAAGAAATATTGGATCGTTAATGGCCGAGAAATTGTAAGAAAAAAAAATAATTTGGAAATGTATAAAATGTTTTAAAAATCGAACAAGCACATCCAGTCAGATAATGGGCGACCTACCAGCTTCTCGCGTATTGCCGGATAGAACATTCTTGAATACAGGACTGGATTTTGCAGGCCCCTTCCTAATTAAGAGCTAGGAAAGGAAGAGGGGGAACGAGATATAAATGTTCATGTTTGCCTTTACATATGTTTCACCACAAAAGCCATTCACCTAGAAGTAGTTAGTGATCTAAAAACTGAAGCATTCCTAACATCTCTGAGAAAAATTGTGTCGCGCAGAGGAAAACCCAAGAAAATCTTTTCAGATAGAGGAACCAACTTTGTTGGGGCTGATCGAGAATTAAGAAGATACAAAGCTACACTTTCCTCTGAAGAAGCGTTTCAAAACTACCTGAGCGGTGAAAATATTCAATGGATCTTCAATCAATCCTCCTCTCATGCTGCCCCTCACTTTGAACTTTGGGAGGCCTTGGAGGCTGGAAAACAAATGAAGATTCACTTAAAAATAAAGCGACTATTGGGACCACCCAGGTTCTGACATACGAAGAATTTCACACCTTAATTACACAAATCGAGCGTGTTTTGAATTCCAGGCCAATAGTTTCCATCTCATCTGACCCTGATGAAGATTTTAATCCTTAACACCTAACACCTGGACATTTCCTAATTGGGGACACATTAACAGAAATTCCTGAACCTGAATCTTACAAATAATAGCTAACCCCTGCTGAAAGATGGAATTGACACAGCAAATTTTCCAGAGAGCTTTTGGAAACGTTGGTCTAGAGATTATCTTCACAATTACAAGGGCGTACCAAATGGTTGAGGGATAAACCAAATTTAGCCCTCAATGACTTAGTCTTGATAAAGGACGAAAATTTGCCTCCCATTAAAGTGGCGACTTGGGACGAGAGTAATTGAACTATACCTGGGTGCTGATGGAAAAGTTTCGTGTTGTGAAACTAAAAACTTTATTGGGCGAAATGAAGCGTCCTATACATATCCCAAACTTTCCCGACTTACCATTGAGTGAATAAGACTCTAAAAAAAAAACCATTAATTGTATATTCATAATTTGTGTCTTTTATATTATTATTATTAATTATCAATTATGTTTCAGATTCAGAGAATGGACCACAATTGTGGATTATGGTAATTTAGCAGTTTCATTATTTTGTTTTCCTTCTAGAGATTTGTAAGTATGTTTTATTTGTAAAATTGTGCTAAATTTAATGTTGTTATTCAATTTTAAATTTGTCATTATGCATTTTATTTTATATTATATACTGTTGTACTTTTGGAAAACTTGTTTAAATCTAAAATTGAAAATCTTTATAATAATGTTGTAATGAACCAATGTTCATCGGGGCGGAGTATGTTCCGTCCTTTTGGTAGATAGGTGGCGCGCTCTGATGCGCGCCGATGAAAAAATATACCACTTGACGCTTGAACATGAAGAATGACGCATGTCATATTTATTTGATGCTTGATTATGTTTCATGGCCGCTATAGGCGGAAGTAATATAAGTAATATAAGTTTATCGTTAATAAATGTTATTTCTATGTTCTAAGAAATCTTGAAGTTTTGCTTTGAAATTCTAATGCTCTCCCAACCTTGACTCCTGAAACGAAACGATCTTTGAATTTATGACTCATGAAGAGAGACAACATACAGATATATTATTATTGATAGCCAGGTTATTCTTAATCGCAAATGCTTTTATCAGCATTTGAGTTTACCAATTCTAAATAATTTCTGTTAAGCACTCTCCGAATTAGACTACTGCAGAGCTGAGCCATCCGACTCTGTTAAGACTAGCACTGAAACAGATGGATTACAATTAACTGCAAACAGCTGTTGTTCTATATGATATATATATTTATTGGCATGGGTGCAAACATTAAACAGATATTAAAATCAATAAAAGTGGTCTCAATTTTAATAAATCACAGTATCAAATAATTTCGAATCAGCATCACGTTTTTAAAAATCAATTGAAAGATAACTTCGGTACTAACGTCACTAATGCTCAAAAGTAGATTATTGAAAATATATTTTCTTATTATAATAGCTGTTTAAAGAAAAACAGCATATATTCAGATAGTTATATCAACGACTGGTAATGAATAAGTGCATTATAGACTAACGTTTTACCTATTTTTGAAAAGCAAAATTTGATAAACAGATTCATAAATGATTACAAGACGAAATTGTTGAATATTATTCATCAGACAACTCTACCTAAATTCTAGTTGGTAAAGAGAAAGAATGCATGCAGTATCTGTTAGACTGACTATAGGAAGCTGAGCAAAGACATTGTCGAAGATAGATATCATTTGTCCTTCATAGATTATGAGTTGAAAAGATTGCAGAAAACACGAATGTTAGTACAACAGATTTAAAAACGATTTTGTATTTTAGCAATAAAAAGATAATTTACTTACCCATCTTAACGATAATCACAACCGTTTTGTCCTTTCCTCTGTACGGCAAGGCTGTCAAATGCTGTAATGATTGAACTTGAAGGGTAGAACTTGGAACAAAATTGCTGAAAACGTCTGGATATATATTTCGTAAGTTATAATATTTCTGCATACGGTTATAAGCTTTATGAATATCATATTTTGCCCCTCTCAGGAACCGTAGCAGGAAATTTTCCTCGAGGCAGGGATTCAGACTTTTATTTTCTGGAATAAAAATAGGAAAATAGTTAATGCGTTTCATTTATTACGCATTTTCTAGTTCGAAAGTATAATATGTGAGTTATTTCCGTTGCATAGTTAATATCTGATTAGTTCTAGGATACTAAATATTATTCTGTAAATATTAATAAATCTGCAGTTGTTAAGTTAATATAAAAACAAAATTTAATTGAAAAACTCGTGACACATGCTTTGCAATTTATAAAATTTCTCCCCATGATTATTGAACTTACAAAAAATTAGATATAATTAAAATGGTGAGAAATTTTTCTGAATAAAGAATTTAGGTTTCTATAGTATATGTATTTCCGCAAAAAGTACATCCCAAAGTATAAATATCCTGATGCAATTTTCATTTAAGATCTGATGTAACATCATTACCTGTTAAATTATGCTAACTCTAGTTTTAGTGGAGGCATATTTCGTTATTGCAAATCAATATCGCAACCGAGTGAGGAGGCTTTCAAAAAAGTCATAAACACTTCAATGTTAAATTTAAAAACTATAAATCAAACTTTGAAAAACAGATCTCTTCATCTCATTGTATTGCTATCCAAAATGAGTATGTACGTAAAATTTTAACTCGACAGTTTCTCATGGAATACATAAAAAAATAGATGGTAGTGTTTTGACTACGCTGATAAATATATAGAGACATTAGGTTATTTTGAAGCAGGAGTCATGAAAAATGAGCAATGCCCTCGCCAGGACTCGAACCGTGAACCTCTCTAATACGCGCCGAATGTGTTGAACATTACACCACGAAGTAGGCTGAGAAATTTTAAAATAGTGTAGAAAATTGAAAAATTAATTATTTTTATCTCTTTATTTTAAAAAGAGGTAAAAAATTATTTTTTAATATATGAAAATTTCAAAATTTCATAACCGATACATTTTCAGATAATGAAATTTTAAAATCATGGATGCCAAATAGTCGAAACAGTCCAGCGATGTTCTAAAACTAGTCAAAAAAGTGGAATTATCAAAATTTCTTAAGTATTTCATTTAAAAGATTTGGAAAGATTCCATTAAATATTCAAAAAGGAATGGATGAACCTATTTCTGTAAATCCTCGATCATATCGACAGAAAAATCGCAGGAAGTGGTGTCTCATGCCGATGGACTCATTTTACTGATCCCGATGCGCGAGAAAGCGTAGAGTGCTCTATATGATGAAATGGTTTCGATTAAAGAATTATAGTAGTCAAAATCGTAAAAACAACCTTGTATTTAGCGTAAGTATATTGAAACACTCAATCGATTTCGAGGGCAGCTAAAGCAGGTTTAGTTAATGATTTGAAGTCCAATCCAGTCCTTCCTAATGCCTTTAAAATTCTACTATCTTAATTCAGTTATTTTTGCCGATAGATGGCGTTACCTCCTCGCGTTTGGTAGTACCAGAGGGTATAAAAATCCGTTCAGTGGTTGCATAATGTACCCAATGTGTTTATTAGCATTCTTAATTTTGTATCTTACTCATTTATTGTACTGTGTATTTCTTTCTTAAATTCACTAGTTTTTTCACACATTCTACACTCATTTTCATTTTATGACTCCCACTTAGTCACGCCTTTTACCGGGCCGGTTACTTGCTAGTGAGCTCCTGCGTTGCTGGTCTTTCCTTCCTGTTCTTTATCCGTCTTTGTCCTTTTCCTCCTCCCCTCACTACTGCGGACATTATATGAAGATAGTTTTTTCTATGTTATTGTGCCCATCTGGCATAAATTTTGATTGAGCCAGATAAACTAAACTAAAACTACTGATCTCAGTGGCATTCTTCGGCTATAAGTTATCAGTCAGTCAGTCAGCTTTCAGCTTTCCATTATTTGAAGTTCAGATTTTGAGCGTGAAGGTGCATTTGCCCATCGCTCCCCTATTTTTTTAACTTCGCTAATTAATTTTTCTTGTCCTTTATGCTTGATCAGATAGCCTGGCTCAGTAAAAGTAAGTAGGCGGCCAGTGCAACTCTGATTAAAAATCCAGTTATAACCACGTGCGCAGTGCTGATAAGGACCACGTGTTTCTGAGACTCCTTCCCCTTATTTTTCTTCTTTCTAGGTATTTCTTTCTCCTGATGAGGAGGGACCTTTAGCTGCCCTCGAAATCGATTGTTTCATATCTATTAAATATACAATATACTTACGCTAAATACAAGGTTGTTTTTACAATTTTGATTGTCACATTAACGTGCTTCTCTTCTAGTCTAATTATAGTAGTGTTCTTAATAATAACTGTCCAATGCTGAGCATCTCTAACCAGAGAGTAAATTTTCTCAGTTAGTATAGAAACCAAAGGGATGAAATAACGAAACCTAATAATATTTGAAATTTTGAATACTGTTGAATTATTTTTAATAGTTTTAATCATTAAAGAGTGCATTTTTATATATGTATATTCCATTCCAATGACGGAGTAGTATAAAGCCTGTGGCAAAAGCAAATAACATAATGTGAACTTTTTGCTTTATAATTATGTTTGTATAATCATTTTTATATTTCAAAATGTTGAATATATCCAGTTTGTAGAGTCATTAGGTTTTTTTGGGGGGGAGGGGGAAGCAGGAGTCATGAAAAATGACCAACGCCTTCGCCGGGTATCGAACCACGGACCTCTGGAAATACGCGCCCAGCGTGTAGACCACTACACTACGGAGGCATGCTAAGAAGGCAGGATAAATACCTTATACACTACCCCTTTTAAAGGGCGACTGGAGTTTTTAGGGGGACCCAGTCGCCAAATCCTGGGAGTGGAGAATCATCATCCACCACCCTTTTAGTTCGTGCCCCAATGTAGAGCCATTAGGTTTTTGTGCAAACAGGAAAGATGAAAAATGAGCAGCGCCTTCGCCTGGAATCGAACCACGGATCATTGGAATACGCGCTCAGCGTGCAGACACTACAACACGAAGACACGCTAAGAAGGCGGGAGGAATACCTTATAAGTTGTTCTACAACACATTAAGCTGGAAAAAGGATAAACAAATGCATTTACCTAAAATCATTCCTCGTAGCTGTTCCAGATGGATCTTACGAGTTTCAGGATTTTCGTTTCGTTGCTGCATCAAATACAATAAAGATTCCTCATCTAAATTTTCATCTTCAAACCTGTAAAATCTGAATTCTCCTACTGCAAGCATCTTAGCAGTGCACCCTCAACGAGAAAATACCTGTGTGTCAAATGTTATAGAACTTTGAATCAGACTAACTTAATTATTAGTACTAATTATAATTAATTAAAAATTGTATTTCGAAAATGCAATTCTTTTTCCCTCGCAGAAGTATAAAACTCATTGTGATTTAAATTTATTAAAAAATATGGTCGTATAAAAAAGAAAGAAAGTTGTATAAAAAAGAAAGCTACTCAAAGATTTAAATTATATTAAACAATATGGTTGTATAAGAAATGAATTGCTAAATTAATTTTACTTAAAACCTCGTCTGCACACCAAATCAAAGCATCTCTAACATCAAATATAACAACAAATGTGTATAATAATATATAAATAAAGCTTTCGTGTATAGCTTTATAAATAATATTAAGATTTTTATCAAATGATAATTTTGAAGAAATTAAGGAATTTTTTTTTGACTAAAATCAATTTACAAAGAGACATTTTTATCGGATATGTATATTTTTCATGAGAAAATTTACAATCTGAGGTTAATACAGTGGGATTCAAAATCACATGACAATTTAGAAAAATATTTCGTATACTGCTGTTTCGTATAGCCTCCCAAAACTGCGGAACTCATTCACATAATTTATCCAGAATAGGTAAAATATTAACTCGCTATAGCATACCAATGGAAACGGCTGGAATGCATTTGTGAAATCGATCTATCCTGACACTAACTGAATGCTGTACAACCACTTGCTGCTTCAGATAGCCCCATAAAAAATAGTCTCGTATAAGAAGTCTGACAACCGGGAAAATTAGATGTTGTCCCCAAAACAAGAAATGACTCTGAATTTGAATTAGGTCCAGTTTGTTGATATATATTGGAATTCAGTTAACTTGAATTTAGTTTGAAATCAGAGACTTTTTATCTAATTTTGGTTCTTCAGGCAACCTGTTCTGTAGGTTTTACGTATTATCTACGCACATATCATTAACTAGAACTGAAATATATTGATATGCATTTACCTATACTGTCGCTGGTAAAAACTACTTAGCTGGCGCCGTTAATGTCCTGGGCTGCCCAACTCACAGCCAGCCCTGACTTCAATGATATATATATCTTGTAAGATTGTAGAGAATTTAAACTATTTCGAAGTAGGAGTCATGAAAAATTAGCAATATTCTCGGACTCGAACCACGGACCTCTCGAATATGCGTAGAGCTTGCTGACCATTACATCCTAAAATAAAAGGGTGAAGGATCACATCCACCACCCTTTTAGTTCGGGCGCCACTGAAGAGACATTGGGTTATTTCGAAGCAGGTGTCATGAAAAATGAGCAATGCCCTCGCCGGGACTTGAACCACGGACCTCTCGAATACGCGTCGAGCGTGCTGACCACTACACCCCGAAGGCATGCTAAAAAGGCGGGAGAAATACCTTATAAGATGAAATCCAAGATAATTTCTTAAAATTCGGCGAATGCTGATATTCAACAGGCATAAGTAGACAATGTTCTATCCAGTTGATCTTTGCTTGCCGTGCAAAATGGTGAGGTTCTTTCACGATTCCTCTTTTCTGATGCATGTATTGACCGAGCACATTTTGGAAGTTTCCCTTCTTGCACTTCCTTCGCTGGCTCCATATAGAGGCCCATAGAGGCGGAATACTGTTAATATGGGCATCAATGAGCAAACCAGATGTCAAATGCTGCTGTACACTGCTGTTTATAAACAACTTTCTATGATCGCAAAGCTGGGCTTTGCCAATCAGCTGCCCATTGAAATTCGAATTAACTGAAGGAAATTTTCGAACCGTCCAGACGATAGTGGTTAGGGGGAGCCGACTGCGATGCCAAAGGGCCCGGGCTCAAATTCCGGAGAGGGCATGGTTGTAATTGTCAGTCCCTTCATAGGAGGCAAAAGTAGCCCTCTTATTAGGTGCCTCCCTAATAAAGTGATCACCATTTCTGGCTTACTAGTGGCCAAGCCGAAGTCGGCTGAGGGCATAACTTGATAATTACATTTAAGAAACCTTTAAATATTATACATAGCTCACCCTATTCCTCGGAAATCACAAAACGAGCATGCAAAGAGAAAATGTCTTAGATGTCAAATAATCCACTAAATCTTATACCGAAATAAAAAAAAATGTAAAGTTCTTACGTTAATTATCCAGTTATCATCATTTTGATCTGTACTATAATCTATTCTTTTTTCTGTATTCTACACATTGCAAATTAGCTTTTAGAGTATCTAAGCTGAGGATTTTTTCTTAGTGAAACAGACGGTTTCTGGCGCTAGCTCTGCGATTTTGGAATTTCGCGCCAGTTCTATCTAAAAGCTATTACTCTGGCTTTTGCATTCTCTCGCAGCCGATGATTACCCGTCGATAAAGGTGCTGAGGCCATTTATACTTTATTTATTTGACTGTGTAGTTTTAGACTACTATATCAACGTTTAAATTCATTTTCTGTAATTTAGTTTACATTGCTATGAGAAGTGGATTACCTATAGCATAAGTCATGCCATTTTTGTTAAAAGTTCAGATTAAATAAAAACGTTATTTAAAACTTTTTCATGGCTTTGTCATCAAATTTCAGACGTAGCGATCACTCGCAAACATGTCTAGTAGGTTGTAGGATTTAAATTTAAATTCCAGAACAACTTGAACCTTACCAGCCTTTTGTAACCTCCAGCTAAAAATGTACTGAGTTACGAACTTTATTTAACGAATCTGCAACACAGTAGTATCGAAAATAAACTTCAATTACACAGATAAAGGCCATGTTTCAATAGTTATTCAGTGGAAACGAATAAAATATTGTTAAAAGATAACTTAAGTTAAACTTTAATGTAATTAGGAATTAGTTATAAATACTTAGTAAATTTTAATATGAAATTCATTTATTTCTTTTAAATGTTATCAAATAGAAAATCCTTGCTTAAAATGAGCCTCGATTCATCACTATATACTATACAACGCTATGAATTATTTATTAATGTGCTCCTAATTGTTTTCTTCCTCGTTTAGTTCAAAAGGTGCTTTCTGCTTATGTGAGGCTATAGTTTCATAAGTTTCTACACGCAAAGAACGTTTTCATTACGTAATCTGTGCATTGTTGAATATCAACAAATAAAGAAAGTCCAGAGATAACAGCAAGCAAATACAAAGGCATTGTAAGCGACTGCCTATTTCAAAGTGATAAATATTGATTTTCACTAGGCCTGCTCATTTTTGCAGCCACTTCTGTCAAGATTTACTGTGTCTTTAAATTGCTTCCAGACATGTATTACAATTAGCATATACGTATTGAGCCATTTTTGTCTTCTCAATCTTTTATAACCTTGGTCCTACCAGCGGCCGAGTGGTAAAGACGCTGAAACACTGGTAGTTCCGACTTGAGTTCGATTCCATGCTTACAAAGGTCCTCCATAAAGGCATCCCTTTCCGCAGACATATAGCCGTTGAATGCTTTGTTATAATTAAATAAAAGAAACAAGCCTAAAAACATTTTTAGAACGTTGTCTTCCTAGAAGCAATAGTTTTCAGCCATGGGGATTCTTCCAAATCATATGCTGAAGCGTGGATTTCTCGGAATCATCCAAATGTTGTATCAAATGTAACTCAGTTTCCCTTTTCAAAATTCAGTAGTGCACCATCAACAGCAACTATGTTTCCTTCTCTGTCTGTTTGTTCTATTAGAGGTTTCAGATATGACATAAAGTACAAAAACTGATTTTCAGCAATGTAATTTGATTGACTAAATTTTAGCAGATTTAATTCAAATGGACATATTAAAATACGTTCCTAAATGTTTTGCTAAGGATCCTTTACATGAAAAGGAAGATATTTTTATCTGTCTCCCTGTCCAAGGCTTCAAAAACGGAAAATCTAACTGAAAACATGACAGAGAAAAGTTGTTATTTTCTCTCATGATTTCGTGTGGACAGAGAGCAAGGAATACTATACGTGGAAATATACGATTTCGAAATAGTTCCTAATGCCATTTAGGTTTAAATTAAAATCAAATAAATTAAATATTTACGAAAAATATAGAAATTTTTAATCACGAAATTCGAAAATCTCAGATGTTAACATCTGTGACAGTGGTTCCAGGTAAAGGATTATCAACCATGTCATATTTTCACTACATTCATTCCATACGCATTACTGAAGCTACGTCAATTACAATTAGTGTAAATAGAAAAATACAGAAACAGAACAACTTTAAATATTACCATAAATATAGTTACGAGTAATTTTCTTTGAAACCAGGGTTTCTTAAAGTGTGGGGTCGCGACCCCAAAGGGAGTCGCGGGACCTGCAGCAGGGGGTCGCCAAAAATTTTTTAGCAGTTTTGATATTTCTTTAATTTATTATAATAATTTTACAATTACCAAATATTTTTACCCAATGTATCTGAAAATAGATAAAGCTAAGACAATACAGAGAATTGAAAAAAATAAAAGCATTCTTTTTATAATAGAAACGTAAATTTTCCTTGCTTTGCAGATAACGTTATCATTTCGTCTGTTATTTATTTAAAATTTTACCATTTTTCTTTACATTTCTTTACATTTTTCTTGTCTTAACATTAGAAATTAAAGTTAATGATCTAAAACTGCAATAGTATATTACAGTACAAGTGAAAAAATTGACAGTTTCACTGTGTCGGATTTGCGCAATACTTAAAGGGTCCCCCAAAATTTTTGTAAGTATTGTGGGGTTCTGGGAGTCGCGAAGAAATTCAATGATAAAAAGGGGTCGCGATTGAAAAAAGTTTAAGAAACCCTGTTTTAAACAAACATATTTTGTTCTTTTATTAGTTCTTATAAGCATAGCCCTTTTACTAAATTTTTAGATTGCCTTTTGTTTCTTCCCTCATGAATGAAACTTTGAATTCTAATCGATCTAGCGTTTCTTGAATTTCAATCTTTCTTGATATTATTTACTTGTCACATAACAGTATATTTAAAATTTATTATAATACAATAAAATAAACTAGCAATATTCTTATCCTAAAATATCATCTAAATTCATTAACATCACAAGGAGAACTAATAGCGATAACTTTGTTAGGAAATCCGAATGATTATTGCATAAAAGTTAAAACCGTAATAGTACTACGTAAAAGAGAGAGAGTTAAGAATATAACAGTGATATTTAGATCTTCCTATTAATAAGTATCTTGACTCGGCTAACCTTATCATATAATAGCAGGTAAGCAATTAATTATCATCAACGATAAAAGGAATCAAATTTTTCTGGGAATGACGATCTCAGAGTTACAGTTCCTTAATATAACTAAAGTATTCCTAAGTCCTATACATTAGTTAAATTAATTACTAGACATTTGTTTTTGGAAACAAACAATAAGAGAAATATTTTTACTTACCATTCTGCAGTGTGCCTCAGGCATCTATTGCCGCATTATTTATTTAGTAGAAGTATGTAGTGAAAGTGAAAGTGCGATAAGCATTATCTGCTTCCATTTCAAACTTCTGAGTTGATTTGTTCCGGTTACAGATAATTCAGTACATTATCAAAGAGGAAATTTTCTGCTGGTCCCATATTTTTGTTTTATAAAAGGAGAAGTTTTAACGAGAAAGAACAATAAGAAACGAGAGACTTAACATAAATGCCTGACACTGCATCGGAAATTCTAAATATATGCTGCTTTTAAAAATTGTGTAATTTTGCTACCGAATGTTTTGTGGCTTAGAGTGATCAAAGTGATACTAAATAATTAGCCCACAAAAAAGTTGTGAATATCATTTTGTTATGAAAACCCAATATTGATAGTATGGAATATGAAAAGACCGAAACAAAAATTTAAAATGTATGGCAGCACTTAACACTCTCTCAGAATCAGGAATTCTAAAACTATGCAGCTTGATTTTACTGTTGAACTTTTTATTCTGTAAACGCTAAGAAAGCGATGTTTAAAATAAATAATAAAGTTAAAAACGCAAAAAAGTTATGTTAGCACGACTGAGTCTAAGAGCAGATTTGTAGACTGCGAGATATAGCCTAGATAGAGTATAAAAACCTTAACAAAGCTTCTAATACTATGTTAAAATCTGAATCCTTCCAAACTTTTAAAAAACATTATAAGCTTTTTTGGGAACACTGGCTGTTAATGAACAAAATTTGCAATAAAATTGATTTTATGGTATCAGAATAACGGTGTGTTGCTCAAATGAATTCAATATTTTTGTGATTTAAAAAAAAATGTTTTAATTAGTTTAAGAAATTTTTTCGTAAAAATAGGAATCGGTAATGAACTGTAAGAAAGTTGACCAAGAACTACTGTAATATCAGTAAATATTGATCTGCGTTATAAATGCTCGCTTTATGTTATATATTACGAAATTGAGAGATTTTTGAGCACTTCAGTGAGATCCGAGAGCATTTAGTTTTACTTGATCATTTGTTAGTTATGTAAAGTTATTAGACCAGTACTACTTATTAACGGGTAGGAAGAACAGCAGAAAAGATGGTAGAACAGTAAACACTGACTGAATGGATAAGAAGAAGAGCAGAACAGATGGTAGAACAATAAATACTGATTAAATCAATGGAGCAAATTCTTAATTTATTTGTTTATTTACATTAAACAGTGGAGGGGGGACAATGTTTTCAGTCAGGGTGTGTAGAAACTGTATTGCACCAGATGGCGCTGTGTGCGCTTGAATTCTTCGGACTAGTTCAGAACCTTGATGAATGCGAAAGATGTAACACCAACGCGAAACATTAACCAAAGTTTATATGTGCTTCTCTTTGTTGTAAATGTATTTAATTGTGTCGTCAATAAAATATAGAGAAAATGATAAAAGGCGAGAATGCGTCTGACAGGTAAGTGAGATTTCTTTTTATTTTTATTTGAATTGAGTTTTAGCGACAAAGAATGTATATGCGTATTTACAAATTTTTTTGGTGCCGATAATCCGGAAGAGACCTTTACATAAAGTAAATTGCGAAGTGAATACTGAAAAACGTATTTAGCGAATTGAATAATTTAAATTGTTAATTGTTTTTAAAATGGATATTGAAGTTTAAAAGATTAGAGCACCTGTCAGACGGCAACTGACACTATGAAACTGTTAGAAACTGAAATAAACAAACAGGAAAGATCAGTTGATTTAATTGATGAACTTTTAGCGAAACTTTTAGATAAAGAAGCTAATTTAAAGTATCTTAACGAGGAAATTCTGAAAACTGTGCAGAACGGAAGAAATGGAAAAGGAAGAAAAAATTGAAAAAACAGCAAGAATATAAGATAATATATTACTTGAAAAATTCGCGCGAATAGAAGCGAATAGAATCCTGAAAATGATAGAAAGCGAAGTTGTTCGCGAAACTGAAAGAACGAATATTGTAGAAACCCGAAGTGAGCAGCAGAATAGAGTAAAACTTCCTCGCTTGCAGATACCTGAATACGATGGCAATATATTAAGGTTTTTTTAACGAATTTTATTCTCACTTTGAAGTAGCTATCCATAAAAATGTGAATCTTAGTAATGTAGAGAAGTTTAGTTATTTAAAATCGTACTTAACAGACGAAGCTGAGGTAGCTTTACGTGGTTTCAGAGCATTCAGCTCTGAAAAACTTATGAAATTGCCTTGAACATATTAAAAGAACGCTTTGTTCGAAAAAGATATTATTATCGATGCGCATATGGCAAGACTTTTAAACTTAAGTCCAGTACGAAAATAATCATATGACATTGTAGCGTTAGCGTTGCGTCGACTTTACTCAGAATGCGAAACACATATTCGAGGATTAGGATTAGAAAATAACGGAATTAATCCTAATAGTTACAGTTGTCTATTGTATCTAGTGTTGTTAAAATCGATACCCAAAGATTTGTCCTTAGAATTTTCTCGTAAAACACATTCGGAAGATAAAAACAAAATATCTGATTTATTGGAATTTTTAAAGATTGAAATTCAGTGTCGTGAACGTAACGAGTACTTAAGTAGAGACTTTAATTTAAACACTTCAGATTCGCGATTGGAAACTAAATTTAACCCTTTACAAAAATCTAATCAAAAGTATGGGAGATTTAATAAAACCAAAATTGAATGTAAGGGGAAAATAAATTAAATTCGAACATTCCTACTACTTCTGCATTTATTGTTGATGTGAAAAAATGCATATGTTGCACAAAACCGAAAATAGAGCACGGTTCTACCTCTTGTCCCTTATCGGTTGTTTCAAAACATTCTAAGATCTATAAATCGACATCAATCACTTTAAAATGTAACTTTTAATATGTACAATATTTACAGATCATTAATCAAAACATGGTGGTTCAGTTGACAAACAAATCTATATGCTTTCATAATCGAAAATCAAAATCAAATAGGAACCGAAGTGTTCCTAATCAAATAGTGTGCAAAGCATCAGACATCCATCTATCGAACTGCCGGTGGAGAGTCTATCGAAATTCAGAAGGCACGTCACGTCGCGTTAACACGCAACGCTAGCGCCATCTATCAATTAATCAAAATAATTTCCACACACTCCCCACCTTAACTCTGTCAAGAGTTCACATTAATCTAACAACAATCAAATTTATACCAATAAGTATTTTAACATGTAATCATAAAACAATTGATAAGTATATTAATGAATAGAAAATATATTCAAATTATAATCACTATACTAAATTCCAAAAAAAAAGGTATGTTAATCATCAAATATAATTTGACACACTCAGTAAATTAAACTATTCTTAATCTAATCATATGAAACTAAATTATCAAAATAAACAATTGCATAAAACATATTCAATCAATTCATATTCATATTATTAAACAATTAAAAAAATGTTTTTAAAGTTCCAAAGGATATAATAATTGAACTGGTCGTTTTTTATTATTGTTCCATCAGCAGTTTTTAGTTCACAAGAAAACGAACTTTATTATCACGACCACGAAACGAAAAACGTTTATCACTCTACCATAGTTCCACAAAAGTTTGCACTTATTGTTGCCTTCAATTAATACAAGATCATCAACTTTTAGATCATCATAAACGTTAGGATTTTTTAATTGATGAGCTGTCCGAAGATCCATCAAATATTGTTTTTTCCATTTAGTCCACAATTGCCTAACCAATAAATCTTGATAAATCTTTCTTTTGGTCAGAGAGGACTTGGTAGAGAAATCTTTAACAATGGAATTAAAGTTGATAGGTAATGTAGAATCTTTGTTTCCAAAAATCAAAAAATTGACTGGCTTCAGTGGCAACGGTTCCTTGTGCTCATTGTATACATATGTCAAAGGACGAGAATTCAAAACAGCTTCCACTTGTGCTAAAACTGTTGACAATTCTTCAAACGTTAGTAAAGCTTTACCGAGAATTTTTCTTAAGCACTCTTTCACTGATTTTACTAATCTCTCGTAGAAGCCTCCCCACCAAGCCCCTCGTTCTATTATATAAACTTCCAACTGATTCTTTCATTCGACAGAAAATCTTGGAATTTCTCATTCGACAATAGTTTAGAGAAATGTTCGAGTTCTTTTTTTTTTCCCTTTTTAAAAGTTTTCGCGTTGTCCGAATAAATTACTCGACAATTGCCTCTCCTAGATGTGAATCTTTTGAATGCCATCAAGAAAGAATCTGTAGAGAGATTCGGTACAAGTTCCAGATGTATGGCTCTAGTGATAGCGCATGTAAATAATGTTTATTATATAGGCTTTTTGACTTCCTTCGATGTTTTTTACGTAAATCGGTCCAGCAAAATCGATGCCAGACACGTTAGAATGGTGGTGTCTCATTGATTCTGTCTTCTGGAAGTTGAGAAGTGGTCTGGTCAGCAGACTTCAATGAATATCTTTTACAAATAAGACACTTGTTTATTATTTTCTTGATAAAATTGACGTCCTTTTCCTTTTGGGATCCAAAAGCGACTTCGAATTTCAGCTAAGGTCGTTGCTACTCCTCCATGCATCATTTTAACATGTGCACTTTCTACTATCAAATTTGTTAGCCAGGAGTCTCTTGAAAGAATTGCCGGATGTTTTTCATCATGTGACAAACTAGAATGTTCTAATCTTCCACCTGCTCTCAGTATCCCGTTCTGGTCTAAAAATGGGTTTTTAAAAAAATATAAAGAGGATTTCTTTTCGACTTTATTCGCTTTCTTCAGAGACTCGATTTCTTGGGATAAAAAACGTTCTTGTTCATCATCGATCGAATCCAATAATTTTCGGCATCTCCACTATTTCTTCAGTCGTTAATGGACCTGTCAAATGGTTTTGTTTTCCTAATTTTACCAATGAATGAATCGCTTCATCCAACCAGTTATTCTCAACAATTTTCTTAAATTACTATATTTTTTGAGATGTCTATTACCCTTTCTTCAACTGCCGTGCACACAAATTCATAAATATCATTAATGTTCTTGCGGTATTCTAATTCTTCTTCAGTGACAGGTTTCTCTTCATTCTG